AGAGAGAGAGAGAGAGAGAGAGAGAGTATTCAAAATAAGAGGAATTGTAACTAATTTCTCAGTTTGCATAATTTATTTTCCTTCTAAACGTGGGAAGGGTCAGATCTACTGAGGTTTCTAAAGCCTCCTTATAATCATTAATGAGCTCTCTCCTATCTGCTCCCATTCATGATAATTCAACAGGCACACTTTAAAGCCCATCAGATCTTCCAATTTTAAATAATTTTGTATAAATGTGTTTTAATATCCTAAAATGTTAAGAATTCCATAATCTCTTCGTCTTTCTCCAGGTCCGTGAAAATATTGAAAATTCCTGGAATGAGGAAGAAGTATGGCGAATTGAAATGTATGTCTCTTTTGGAATAATGAGCCTTGGACTGCTTTCTCTGTTGGCTGTGACTTCTATTCCTTCAGTAAACAGATCATTAAATTGGAGGGAATTCAGTTTTATTCAGGTGTGTACTGCAGTGAAATACTGAATTATAAACTAATCTAGCACAAGTGGCTTCAGTAGGGATTCAGTACTGAAAGGTTCAAGGTTGTGAGATGGTAACATTTTTTCTAAATAGTAACGTACAAGTAATCATGGAATCTAAATTAATTCAGTAGAAAACCAATCCTAAAAAATGCTTAGTCAATAATAAATCCTTGATATTGAACAATACTTTTTTCTACTTAATTCTGTCACTGATGAGAACAGGAAGCAATTGTAGGGTTTATACAAAGGGTACAAAAAGTGCAACTCATTGGTTTTCCTTCCAAGCCATCCATGGTGTATGGGAGAGGAAAATCTTTAGCCTTTTATGTATATGAGAGTAGGAGGGTAGCAGAATTTTAAGAGGTCACATGGATCTCTCAAATGGCTTAAGTCACCTACCTCATCCCTTAGGAAAACTCACTAAAATCACAAAAAAAGGGTCTGATAAAAGCTACACTGCAGCCCTCAATGTACCAACAAAACTCAGTGCAGCCTCAAGCCAAAAAAAAGTTCCGTATGCCTTACTTATACAGTACCCAACAGCATCTGCACAGAGAGAGGGTCAAAGTTGGTAAGACAGGAGAGTGCAAGATTGTTGAAATGCAAGCTCCACCCCTTTTGCAGATGGCAGAGTTTTTAACCTCCCCCCCCCATGCCACTGTTTATATTATTTTAAAATATTCACAATTCCATTGCAGTGCCCTAATATCACAAATCATACAGCCCAACTAAGGATTCTAAATACATTTCAGGCATGCATAAGAGTTGTACATGGAAGGTGCCTGCCAATTTATTTATTTATTTTTTATTTATTTATTTATTTGTTTGTTTTTTGGTGGCCTTTATGTATAACTACTTCCCTATATAAACATTTATTCAAATAAGCAAACTTATTTCTTGTTTCATTTTAGTCTTTCTACCAGTAGAGCATATTAGCACATTTGCTGTGCTAATCCAGCAAAACATGAAAGGCCCCTGGGCCTTTCCAACTACCAGTTGAATATACAAGAAGTTTCCATTCATTTTTCACCTTCTTTTTAGTTAATTGCTAAAGTTAATTGGGGTCATCACACTAAACAATATTAGACCAATTTTCAGAATACTGAATGTTAGTTTTCATTGTATGTTCACAAGTCCTTTAGCCATGTTCAGAATTAATTTTTGTTCAGCCTATTTGTATACCATAACATGGGGGGAAACCCAATCGCTTTATATCTATGTTTATATTAGTTTAGTTTTTGTAAATAACTTTTAATAGTTTGTTATCTATATCTGTTAATCAAGATCTCAGCATTTTAATTTGTATTTGTTTCCTATCTTCAAATCTCAAAGTCTACACTTGGATACGTCGCTCTTCTCATAAGTACTTTCCATGTATTAATTTATGGATGGAAAAGAGCCTTTGAAGAAGAATGCTACAGATTTTACACACCACCAAATTTTGTTCTTGCACTTGTCTTGCCATGCATAGTAATTCTGGGTAAGGTAATTTTGCTTCTACCATGTATAAATAGGAAACTGAGAAAGATCAGAAGAGGATGGGAAAAAAGACAATTTATAGAAGATGGATCTGATTCATATCCCTCACCAGAAAGAATTACAGTCATGTGATCATACAGTGAAAATATTACCACAATATTTGTCCTTTTAATGTCTGTACTTAATATAGGTTTTATTTTAGACTGAAATATCTCAGGCATTAAGTGATATTATCAGAATATAAGCAATACAGATGAAGGCAGACATTGCATTTTCAGCATAATACAAAACACCTACAACATTTTGAAGGATTTGATTTCTGGGAAGTAAAACTGTTTAAGCCACTCCTGTCATTCCAAGACTACAGTTTTAAACAAATTTATAGGAGAGTAAGTTCCACTGAACTCAGTGGACTTTATTCAGAATAAATTTCTTTATGGTGGACTTGCTTGGAAACTGTTAGTTGTAGCTTCACTTGGGATACCAAACTCAATAAAGAGACCCCAGAACCACAAGCCCACCTGAACAGCCCTCTCAAAGTTGTCAGCAAATTGTAACTTTTAATAAAATAATTATTCTTTGGGTTTTTAATAATCATATTAACTACAATTGATTTTAAATTAATCAAATTTAAACTTCATTAAATTTGTATAGAAACCCATCTCACAAGTGTGACTCTGGGCAGCTCACAACGATTAAAACAACAACAGTAACAGTAAAAAAAAATAAACACAACAGCATACAACTATCCTAAAACCAGAATTAAAAATTCAATAAAACACAATCACAGCCGGTAAATATAAATCATATATCCGTTTAATATAGCCATTGCCAAGGCTCACCCCTACTGCTGGACCCCTAGAGACAATGGCATAGCCAAGTCTTCAGGCCTTCCTAAAAGCCAGAAGGATAGGTGCCAGTCTAAGTTCTTTATCCTGGCCCTGCCCATTCATTAGAGTGGACATGGTCTGTCATAAAAGCCAAGTTTATTTCTTGGCTCAAACTAACTTTAGATCTATTTTAGATCTCAGTCCTTCAAGAGATAAACCTACTGTGGCAACTTTTACATATTTGTTCCTCCTGCTTTCTGGCTTGCATTCTTAGTGCTCTGATTATATCAGCCTGGAGATGGAATAAAAGTTTGACATCAGTATCTGATATCCTTGGACAGTTGATACTACTGTTGGCCTTTAGGTCCTCTGAGGTGGTGTTTTTTTTTTTCCTTGATCCAGCAATCTCTGCAGCCAAAGATGTAGCTGAATCTAGTCATTTAAATTTCATATAGTACCCCAAACCAAATGTACTGGGAAATCATGGAAAATTAAAAAGTCAACCAGTGTAACTGGACTGGAACATTGCCACTGGATCCAAGTAAAGCCATCAGGCTCACTGATAAAATACAGCCCCCCCCCCCAAAGGAGAAGGAAAGCATAAGTGCAGTTACCTGCTAAAATGGGAAATACAAAAGTGTACAGTATGGTGGTTTTCCTGCTTTGAATCTGGGAATCTCCTTCCTTCAAAACTCAGAAATATATTTAAAAATTTTGTTTTAAAATTATAAGGGAGCCATTATAGAGTTAACATTTATAACTCTGTATAATTAAATAATATAAATTTCTATTAGGTGTAAAAAACAATCATAACTGTTGGTCCATAAAGGAAATCCTTAGCTGAGCAATAGCTTTATTAAGACTCAACCAAAAAGTGGCAGTTGTTGAGTTCTCCAGGACTATTCATCAGGCAACATATTCCATAAAGAGGATTGAGGCAGAATAATAATAATAAAGCAGTGTTAGGTGCTTTGGTGTTAGGTTAAACATCACATTTAGAAACAGAGTAAATCATTCTCCATTTAGCTATGATAGACTGAGAGCCAATAGTCTGTGTTTTGTTGGATTCTTGGGAGTGAGTGAAGTAATGAAACATCTGCAAGAAAAATGCATGCTCAGGATCCAACACTCTGAACCCGAGCTACATGTGTTCATCGTGTTTTGTGCTAGGAATAGCAGCCATTGTTTTTGTTTCTGAATGCTAGATATAACATAACATGCTTCATTCATCCACGACTTCCATCTTAGACTAACCTACTTGCAGACATCTGGTCGTCTTTTTGGATTTTCTTACTTCTCCCTCATTATCTACTTATTGGAGCATCTCATTAGAATTCTGGAAAAAACTTGAATGCTTAGACAATGTTTTACAATATTTTGGATGGTACCTACCTATGGTTTTTGATATCTAAATTAGCACAGGATTGCAACTAGCGGGCAGAATGAAGCAGAACTACATGTGAAGGTCTAAACTAAACACAGTGGTAGCTGTTTAACCCAATAGTTGTTTCAGTTACACATAAAACAGGAAGAAGTTAGATTTTTGAGGGCAGCCACCACTGTATCCTCCTATGCTATGATAAATTTGGTAATTTATCAGATTACCAAATTGAATTCATATTTTCTACGTAGCATTACTGTTAGACTAGAAATTCATATTTCACATATTATGCTTTCCTATCTTCAAGCTTTTTTTCCTTTTACTATATATATATGTAGTATACACACAGAGACACATATATACAATTTCACTCAGAACAACTGAAATAAAACTATTTCAGTTAATGGAGACATTTCACACCTGTTACAGTTAACAGTTAACAGTAAGGTTACTATGAATGTGGAACGTCTGTCTTTGAAAATAAACTACAAGCTGCAACCGAACAGAACTGAATAGAAGACTATATTCTTCTTGAATACATTGAGGCACTATTGGCTACTTGTAATGTTTCCTGTGACATTAATAGTATATTTTAAATGTGCTTTATAAAGGCACATGTCTATGTTTATGAAAACAAAATCAGTTTCTACAACTAAAACCAAATTGAAGCTTCAGTTGCAGGTTTTTAAAACTTTCAATATCAGAATCTGGATCACTATTCTGTTCTTTGCTAAACTGTTCTTTGCTTCACTAGTTCTGTTATTGCCATTTAAGGTCAGTGAAGGTGTTCAAAATGTACAGCCAAAATAAATGTTATTTGTTAAGTCATTTAAGAATCTGAAACAGCCTTCTGTAGTTTTATGGTACATCATCTGGAAATATTTTTCTAGGGAGAGTCCAGTTAGATTAACAAAATTCATATTCCAAAAGCCAAGCTAGACATGATGCTTAAGACGTCATTAGAAAGAACATCAGGATTGCTGATTTTTAGCTTGGCGTGGGAAAGGGGTTTTTTCATTAGGCCCATGTTACATGGGGAGATTTAATTTTTTTAGTCCCATTTATGGGTCCAACAATGAAACTTCCTTCCTTGCTTTTTGATTTAGCAAAATGGTAGTAGAATGTAGTAATACAGCCCATTGGGAATTTTTACCAGGATTGCACTTGGGGAAATAAAGATGAATCCTACTATGCCCATTCGTTATCACCCCAATAAAATAATGTTAGTAAGTGCACCTATTAGTAAACATCACATCTAGTTTCTTCTCAGCCATTTTCAACTGATGCCAGAATACCAAGTGTATGTGAAAAATGTATTCACTGCTCACCATCACTTTCTATATTATGTTAGAGTCTGCAGTCAGTGGAACATATTATTACTTTGAATTATCAGAGTACTTTATGTTAGATTTGCAGGGTGTAAATGCTTTTTGTAACAATTATTACTTAGTAGATATTAAAACACTTAATGGCCTTTCTATCTTTAAGAACCAGTAGTTGTCTGCTAGTATTTGTATGACCAGCAAGAATAAAAAGCAATGCTGATCTTGCTGTTGTAGCTATAGAGTAGAAGTTCATACAAATGAGAGAGAGGATTGTTTAATTTGCTTCCTTCTGTTTTTTAATAAAGCAGGACTGGATTCCTTAAAGCAGCAACATCTTTTTTCGGGTTTGAGCAGGTACTGTGCTCACATGAGGCCCAAAGCACTTCTGAATTATTGTTGGCATGTGCACAGCCATAATTTATAACTCTGCTAGGCTGGTATATAGTTATTATGTCGTAGGAATGATATTAAGTGGGAAATAGCAATTAACATATAGTAATTTTATATGAAACTGAAAGGGCTAGACTTTTACAAATTAGTTTGATTTCTTAGAATATCCTAATAGTCAAAACTCTAAAAAGTGGAAATTACAAAAATGATCCCAAACAGTTAAACAGGTCGATTTAAAGGGGAACTGATTATAAAATCAGATTGTTTTTCAGATGTCCACCAAACACCTTTTATTTTGTCTCTTCCTTTTCTGACCCAGTGTGGAATAGCTAAACCTGGTTAAATTCTTGTATTTCCCAGACATTTCTTTTAGGATTTTTTTCTTCCCTTCGCCATGACTTCGTCTTGTATATGCTCTCTGCTGAATTTCAGATGGTTGATTCAAAACATCTTAAATTACATACTGATTAGAGTATTAGATGTTAAAATGTTTTACTCTCATAGCTGTGTCATAACTGATTTGGATCTAGACAACCTATTGATATCAGCAGGTCAGTTCTGACTAAGTCTGGGATAAGCTCAAACATCTTTATTGGTTCACAGCTTTGCTGCAATTTCCTTAAATATTTTTAAATATTTAAAAGACAAATTATAATTATATGATGAAAAAATAGCAAAAAGAATTACCCACAAAACGTGAATAAACTATCACCCCCCCAAAAATCAGAGAATAAACTATCACCCCCCCAAAGATTATAAACAATTATAATCTTAGTGATTAAATGTCTTATATTAAAAGCATCCTTATAAAATCAGATTGTTTTTCAGATGTGGTCCACCAAACACCTTTTATTTTGTCTCTTCCTTTTCTGACCCAGTGTGGAATAGCTAAACCTGGTTAAATCCTCAACATAACGCAAAGCACATATAACAACTATCACTGCTGCCTTGTTTTTGACCACTATGTAATGTTAGGTATCTACAATCCTTACAAGATACAACAGGATTTTTTCAGGATCCATCGGCTTGAAATGAAAAGGAACATTTCCGCAGCCCAAAGTCCATCAGAGTTGGGCAGCTATAACAAATTTAAATAAATAAAATTCATAGTGGAGTACCTTTTGATCCATGTAATTTCCAATGAAATGTATTAGTAAATTGTTGATCCCATGTGCATTAGTGAGTAAATTCCACTGGATTCAGTAAGACTGTCTCCTAAATAAATATATTTGGAATCAGATTGACTAGATTCTATGAGCTATTTTCCTACATTCAGATTCCCACAAGGGAATTTATCACTATGTGCCCCAAGAAATGTAAATACTTATTCTACAAATGGTACTGCAAGTCCAGGATCTTTGATTAGTGATGTTGTATTGCACTTAGCTATAAATGCTTTGAAAATATTTTAAAGCTGTGCTGCAGAAATTTTTAAGGAAAGTGTTCTTACAGAATTAAGAGCAGTTATTTTTCATATTAAAGAGAGATTCTTTTATTTTAAAAATGATTCCAAATAATAAACTTGTATTTTTAGATAAAATAGATGAGAGTAACATTGAGATATAAATATGCTACATAGAATTTTACTGCATATTGACTGCAATTCATCTACAATTTTCAGTCCACAAATGTACACTGCTTTTCATACATATATGCCTTAAAAGCATGCAAAGTAGCAGCAGGATTGCA